GCACTTCACCATGCCGAAATAGTGGCAGAAGAAGTAGGTAACCTGCTGGAGGCAGGAGCAATTAGAGAAGTGCACTACCCAAAATGGATCTCCAACACGGTCGTAGTGCCAAAGAAGAATGGCAAATGGCGCATTTGCGTGGACTACAAGACAGTCAATAAGAATTCGGGTTGATTGTCGAATCGGATCAATTTTGCGATGAAGTCCTTGGTTTCTTAACAGACGCAAATTAGATTAAAGTTTCAAACTAAGCTTCAATTCAAATACACAGGTCAGATTGTGATTGCTTGAACCAGGTCAGTGTTCTAGGTCAAAGATTGAATGAATCTTAGGCTTAGATGAACTCGATTTTGGCTGGCCAGAGTCATAGAGACCAAGAAGGTGGAGAGAGAGTGGGTGGAGAATGTGAGAAGATTTAGTTGAGGGTATAATAGTCTGAAAAAATATTTAAATAATAAATTTTTTCCTTTATGCAAGATTTTATAATTATGAAGGGGTTTAGAAAATTTAATTTTTTTCTTAATCATTTTAACAATGAAAGGAAGGTAAAGGGGGTTTATAGCCAAATAAAAGGTGGATCTATTACCAACAAAAATATTCACTGAATCTATTGTTTTAAATACTCTCTAAATTGGATTTATCACCAATTTTCTCTATTTTTTAATTTTTTGTACAAAATGAACTCCTTGGATCAATGGAGCAATCTTTGAATGTTGCATAAATTTGTAATTGGACTATGTTTTATTCTATAATTTAGATATATTTTCAATGTTCTATATTTTGTTCTATAACGTGAGACAATTAAGCCTTTCTTGTCTGGTTCATCAATATATAAATCTATAATAATTATAAAAAAAATAGAGATTAACGTATTATAGCCCTATTTGGTAGGACTTATTTCCAGCTTATTTCAGCTTTTAGCTTAATTTAAGCTATTTTGATATGTTTGGTTCAGCTTAACAATACAACTTATAATTTTTTGTAAGTCAAAAATTAACTTATTTTTTGAGTGGGGGAGGAGAAGCTTAATTTATAAGTCAAAAATCAGCTTACGTTCATAGCTATAAGCTATAAGCTATAAACTGTTAAGTTATAAGCTATAATCACTTTCCCACAACTCTACCAAACGGGACCTATATCTTTTATGTGTTATTAAACTCCAACTTAGATCAATAAATGTATTTAAGCAATAAATAGAAATTCAATCTGTTCTAAAAAGAAAATCATGCTCTTTCTTCCATTTTTCCATTATTTTTTCTCTTTCATCAATACTAGCTAGCATCATCTAATACCATAGCAATTTACAAAACATATTTCTTTTGTTTTGTAAACATATTTGTGTATTAATTTTTTTTTTAGGAAAAATAAACTTAATAACATTTCATATTTATAATAATAAAAAAATTTGACTTATAAAAATCATCAAATGCTACCTCATAAATATATATAAAAAAAGATTATCAGTATTATCTTATCACAATCCTGTGTTATTCGTTAGTTTTAATTTTTATCTTTAAATCTTTTAATTTCTAATCGATGGATATTAAAAAAAATAGGTCATTATTTCTCACTTTATCAACAAAATTTTTAAAAATAAAAATAAAAGTGAAAAAATATCTAATCATATTATAATAAAAATAAATTAAAATTAATTGATAGGGATTGAAATATAAAGAAATTATTTGAGAATAATGAACTATTTAAACAATTTGTCATACCTTACATCTAATTAAAATGCAATTTTACTTGAAGAAAGAAATTTTTTAAAAATAATAAAATATTTAAATAATTTGTTATTTATTACATCTAAAATCTATATCTCCATCTTTGTTCCTCTCATTTAAATTATTTTTATTAAATTAAATCTTAAAATTAATTCAAATAAGAAACATGAATATTCTTTCTTACTTTCATTAATGGTTGAATTTTTTTTTAACTTATAAAAGTTCAAAAACTTATAGTGGAAAAAAAGATATAAGTCAAGGAATTACAAAAAAAAAAAAAAAAATGTGAGAAATAAAATGATAATTTAATATATAGGTAAATTACACTTAGTTAAGGTTATGAATAGTACTTAAAGGCTATTATGCTCATTTGCACAACCAGGTTAACACGGCTTGAGCTAAATTAACGGGAGGAGGTAATCTTAATAATGTCATAAAACTATTTATTTGTTTTGTTTTTGTTTTCTTAAGATTTACCTGATTTCAAATTCTTACGTTTGTATGATACATTTGTGGGGGAAAAGTGAAAGAAAACTGCAAAAATAAGGACAGGGCTGGCCCTGAGATTTAAGAGGCCTGAGGCGAATTTCAGAAATGGGGGCCCCTCTTACATTGAAAAAAAAATCATGAAAAAAACGATAAGTTACAACTTTTTTATTTGTTTGTAGCCACGAAAAAAATTACTTACCCATATAATCATTAAAATTATAAATAAAACAATTTAATGAAACAAAATTAAGGCAAAAGAATTAGGAAAAAATTATTCAATTAAAATTGATAAAGACCTAGGTAAAAAAATTAGGGCAAAATTATTTATTCCACTAAAATCTAATAGATAAAGAAGGTAAAAAAAAAAAAAAATAGGGGTCATATATTGTATGTATTGTTCTTCTTGGGCCCAAACACTTTTTTTTAAATACATATTTTCATTTTAATAAATATGGGCAAAACCATACATGAACCAAATAAAATATTTTGAGGCCCTTTAAACTGATCCTAAAACCAAAATAAAAATAAAAATATTGGGCCTAGAACATTTTACTAAATTTGGAGACTTATTTTTGAGCCAAAATTTTGAAGCCCAAGGCACTGATCTTACTGGCCTTAGGCCAAGGCCGGCCCCAAATAAGGAAGAAATGAAGATAATACTGCCATAGTGTTGATTAGCGTTTGACTAGAGCTCAACAAGCTTAACAATGTGTTTAAGCTTGTTTATATCACAAATAGATTATAAATGAGTTTTTTCCAAGCTAATCATAAATGAATTTTTCTTTATGTTATATCATTACCTAGAATTTCTAATTGATGGAAAGGGAAGAAGGGGAAAAAAGTTGAATATTGAGAAGGTTTCTGCAAGGCAGAAGTATACATGTATTTCTATCATAATATGGGATGCAATTGCACATGGGGTGGTGGCGCAGTTGGCTAGCGCGTAGGTCTCATAGCTTCTGAGTTATCCTGAGGTCGAGAGTTCGAGCCTCTCTCACCCCATTCTTTTTGGTTTCTTTGTTTCTCTTTAATTTATTTATTTATATCAAGGATTTCTACTACATTTACATATGAAATTTATCAACAAAAATGAAAGAAAGAATTTAGCTTCTTTCGTGCAAACCATTTGTCTCAAAGCATCATGTATCTTGGATTCAATTGTGTTCTAATCAAAATATGCTAGTATAGCAATTCAAGAATGTTGTGTATAATTCACTAACTTGGATAGGAATTCTTCAAAAAAAACAAAAAAGGAACTATGAATGGAAGATGACCATATCGGAAAATGAATGTCATTTCTCTGTCTATTTAAGTTTTTGGTACCAATAAGAAAAACAACACAATTTACTAGTCCCCAACAACATCTCCAACGATTGGCTACCAGTAAAATGAACTAAAGATTGGCTACATCAATATGTGTCCTACAGACCGCTAATCACATAACATTCATCCCATTTCAAGACCCTTGGTGAGAGAAATGTGTTTCAAGGAAAACACAGCTAAGATGTGCAACATTTCTTCAGAATAATAACATCACAGCAAACGTATGAACTTCTTGGGATTCTTGCTATAACCCCATTTTGACTTTCTTGAGATAGCATGCTAGCAAACACTGCTATTTTCTGATAATCATGTAAAACATCACATCCAAAGATCAAGAACTACTAGTTCACACTGATTTATTTGTGCCCAAAAAACACAAAAAAGTCTCTTCTATGCAATAGACACAAGTACAATGGTGTTCATAGTATTGTTGCCTTCTCTTTCCGTACTCATAACTGTGCTAAATTGTTCTGTCTCCAATTTACAATAAAAAACAAACTACATAATCATTTCCTCTGCTATAGAAAATCTTTCCAACTTCCTGTGCAAACACCTTCTCTTTTTTCTTTTTTTCTTTTTTTTTGGAAAATAAGAGTACATATAAACTGAATAAACTAAGGGACGAAATTCTTCAGCACATGGTCTGTCATTCACTATGATTTTGCGATTTCTGCTGGGGATTTCTCTCTCTCCTATAAGCATTAAAGAGATCAGCACCAAGAAAAATATTCAGAAAATTCATTCCCGCCATGCCAAAGAGAGCAAGTGGAAGCTCCACACCCTTTCCAAACTTAGGAGCATCTTTGATCAGCTTGACAGTGATGAGGGCATGAGAAGTGAGTCTTGCTAAAACAAATGTGGCCCAGTTAAGAACCCATTCTGCCTCCACAATTTTGCTCTTTGCATCACGAACGCCAGCCATTCTTCGCACTTTTCTCACATGCAGAAAGACAGAATGCAGCTGTACAATGACAAGAATTTTAGCTCTAACATTTACAACGGTACAATGACAAGAATTTTAGCTCTAACATTGACAAAATTCTTCCATTTTTAGTAGTTAGGACTTGGGAAAACAAAATTTAGCTATTGCACTAGACACCTAGAAATCTGGGATTAGATAGAGGCAATGAGGGAACCCGCTACGTTAGCACATTCTACAATCCATTGTTGCCATTGCAGTAAAAAAATTGGGCTAATTATAATAACGGTTCCTGTAGTTTAGAACTTGTGTCATTTTGGTTCCTGACCTTTCAATTGTAATACATTTGATTTTGAATTTTGAATCTCATTCTAAATAAGGATAATTGAAGATATTTCTCAATTTTAAAAGCAAAATCGTCAAGTTGATAAAATATAAATTAGTTTGATAAAAATAAATGTTAAAAAATTATTTTTGAATTTTTAAATTATTTCTACCCACCAAAGATAAAATTATATGAAAATAATAAATCTTTTACATTTTTATTTATTTATTTTTTACCAAATTAATTTTTAGTATATGTTTGGATGACGATGATCATGTAATGGGTGATTTTTTTTGTTGATATTTTTTGATGGTTATTATATACTAGATGACTGTATTTATTGTTAACAGATATTTTTAGATGGTTATCACGTAATGAATTGTTATTAGACTTTTAATGTGTAATCGATATGTTTAATATATGAAATGTTTCTAGTTTTGGATTTTTTTGATTTAATAATGATATCAAAGTTGTCGCTATATTTGACTTTTAAAAAAATAGAAACTATTTTAACAAAAATAAATATCAAAAAAAAAAAAAAAATTACTACCTTTCCAAAATATAAAATTATATAAAAATGATATGTTTTTAATTTTTTCACCAATTTAATTTTTAATTACTTAGAAATTTTTTTTTCCTGAAAATAGATTACAAAAACCAAACCAAATAGAACTTTATAACTAAAAAAGTTTCAGTATTATTTATTAAAAAAAAGTCATTACATTTTAAACAATATACAAGTTAACAAATACCAAATAAGTTATATGACGATTTTGCCCTTGAAATGGACCGTTTGCAAATAAAACATATTTGATTGTCGTTATTTGGAACAATATTCAAAATTTAGGATCAAATATATCATAATTGAAAAGTCAAATACCAAAGTGACACAAGCCCCAAACTATAGGGATTGTTAGCGTAATTCACCCCAAAAAAAAAATCATATTATATAAAAATGCATAACAAAGAGACGCTACCCATGTACAAGGTTAAGCCTTGACAGCCTATACAAACCAAAACAAACTTGGCCTATACACTCAACAGACAAAAAAGTGTATAGATTCTTAAAAATGAAGAGAATCTACACAATCAACAATATCTAGGTTGGGCATAACTCTCACTGAGACCCAACTATACAAAATTACTAAAACAAACCAACTTTTAAGCCTATGCAAAGGCTCCTCAATCCCCTTGAAAGGTCCTATTTCGCTCACTCCATAAAAGCCACATCAAGCATAAAGAAGCTAGCAGCCAGGCCTTTCGACTCTATTTCTCTACCTTACCTCCCCACCATCCAAACATAACTCCACCACATCCATATAGAACACCCATTTCATCACAATTAAGGCCAACACCAAACCCCACATGCCCCTTGCCACCTTGCAATGAATAAGCAAATCATCTACTGACTTCCAATCACCTTTACACATGCAACACCAGCTAAAAATAATTTTTCACTACCTAGTCAATTTATTGTAAGAATCTTCTTATGTGGTGCATTCCACACAAAGAAAGTAACCTTCGATAAAGACCCAACATACCAAATGCCGTTCCAAGGAAAATTTATCCTTCTACTTCCAAATAAAGCCATATGAAATGACTTCACTTTAAATCTTCCTTTCCTCCAAATAGCCCACCACTTTTCTTTTTTTTTTTACCGTCTACAATGCCTTGATACTCATTGATCAGGTTGAGAATATTATTCAACTGATCCAACCCTACCAATCTTAGCAATTTCTACTTACACCAATTTCCCTAAAAACCCCACTATTCTCTGACATAATCTACCACCTCAACTTCTCTATCAACAAGAAGAAGGAAAATAGCAAGGAAAGCCCTTAAGTGTCTTATCTCCACACCACTTGTGTCACCAGAATTTCAATTTATCATCTCTTCCCACCTTGAAGCTAACATGCTTTGAGTCCTCCTCCCAAACTAGCCAAAACCCTTGCAAAGTCCCCGTGACCCATGAGACATGTTCACAACTAATGAAGTCTAATCACCCCAAGAATTACCATATTTAGCTGTTTACCACTGTCCTTCAATATTTTTCCCTCTGTAACACCTCATTTTCACTGGCTCCAAGACTTGGGCTCCCTCTCAAAATGCTATAAGATGACAAGATCAATATTGATTTGATTTTCAAGAAAACTAGAAATTTTGTTTTAGCTTGACTAAGCTTCCTTAAAACCCCCTCTTTGAGTCTTGACAAACCTGCAGGAGAGAGTTTCTATGCTTAACTTAAACTAAGAAATTAATCGATTTTGCATAGTGACCAAAATACCCTTAGAGGTCTCCAAAAGAAAGGTCAACTTCCACATCATGTGAAAATTTCTTTGGCTTGCAAAATTTGACAAGACCATTTGTTCATACTTTAAAAGAGCTTTCCAACGATTAAAAAAAAAAATCAATTAAATCTGATTTAAAATGAAGAAATGGTATGCATTTTATATTTTTTGACACCCACATCACATGTATACCTGAGTCAATGTAACATAAAGGTAATCTCAAACCTCTCTTTCACGGCAATATTAGCTATCTTCTAGAACTTATCTTTGTAAGAAATATTCCTATGTTCTCAAAGTAATATATTTTATATTAGCGAGTAAATTTCCACTACCATGATCATGCTGTTAGAGACATGAAGTAACTTAAATGAGGCTTTCAACCAGGTCTATTCTTCAATTGCCTAATGGTGCATGGAGACTACTGTTACAATTAACTTGAAGTAGAATATTATCATGAAATTGTGAGGAATTGTTTGACAAAGTCGCCAGAAATTAAAGTTTGATCCAAATAATATGGAAAAACCCACGTGCTAGTGGAAGAATGGTGTTCAAATAGAGTGGACCTGTGGAAGAAGACCAATGCATTACTTCAACAGAGATGGACAAATTTCTGCCCTCAGAAAAATTGGATAAATCAACAGACCCCATCCAATGGGGGACTAAACTGAGAGCACAAGAATTGCCATAAATGTCCAAGATTGTCACAGAATTTTTCCTGTAAGCCATTTCGTTTCTTTTAGCCCAAATTTTTATTTTATGTTATTGTGTCTAACCAATTCATGGTTTGTTAGCTTTCTCACCTTAAATTAACTTCTATGAAATTTTCTAAAAGCCAGCTATAAAAAAGTTGAGTCCTGATCCCATCCCTCCCTTTAAATGCAATCCCAATAGCTTTGTGATACAATGGTTCATAAATTAACTTTTACTAGTAACACTAACATATGAGGCTCCATGAGACCAACTTCCATCACGATGTTATGAATCCAAATTTTATGTCAACCTCTTAAACCATCACCCATTGATAAATATATTCTTTAATTAAATGTAAGAAACAGGAATTATTTAAAAAGTGTCATAAAGAGATAGTAGAAAGGAAAAGCAATCACACTACAGAGTTTGGAAAGAGTTATCAGGATAATACTGACATACCTCACAAATTAGAGTGAGAATAAGGTAGTTGATTGTGACATTTCGATATAACGCAAGCGTAAAGCAAACAAGGAGTATTAGATGATGCAATAGGATTGAAGGGATCCAGCCACTGTATAATTGATAAAGCAACATATCCCACTGATCATATGCAAAGTAACCACAAGAAAAGCACAATGCCTGGTATGCCCAAGGCCAAGTACCCCCAAACAACTGTGAATGATCAAACATCTTGTATGAACCATTTGTCATCCACTGATTGATCAAAATCAAAACCACTGCAATGTAGACATTATTTGCAATTATTAACAATAACAAGACAAGGGAAGGCCAAGGAGAAGCAAGACAAAAATATGGAGATGACACATGAAACAAAAATGAAGTTACATAATTCGGGCATTTAAAGTGAAATGATTGATCATAAGAGTTGTTAGCAAAGCACAACCAAATCATGGAACCACAAAAACAATCCTATTTGGTAATATTCATAATTCTAGATACTGCTTTCATTAAACCAGTTGGCACAAAATAAACCTTTTAAGATGCTTTCCCCGAAACTCAAAAGGGTAAATTACACAAAAATAGTCCTTAAAGTAAACCACAAATTTCATTTTGGCCTCTAATATTTAATTTGTATTACTTGCATCCTGAAACTTAATAATCCAATGTAGTCTCGTTTCCTAACTTGGATTAAAGGGCATAAAAGATATATTACCGCATATATTTATGCCAAATACTATCAATCAAAGTGCCAAACACACAATGTATTTGGCTCTTAGTAATGGAGTGAAAGGCTTAGATGTGTTTTGTTTTATAAATAATGTGCATTTCACGTGTTACATGGTTCATTTAGGTGGGAAATGGGATATATTCCTCTTAATGCCCTTCAAATGCTTTGATGAAAGGCTGATGTAACCATTTTTGTATGCTTTTTAGATGGTAATCAGGGTTGGGGACCATATTGGAGTAATGTGTGAAGTTCAGGGATGCAATTGATACACAAATTAAACATTGGAGATCAAAATGGAACCATTCGTATACTTTAGCGACTATTTGCGTAATTTAATCAAGCTTAAAATGTTGAAATACGGACTATATGGAGAACCCTAGCTCCAAATTTATCAAATCATCAATAGTCTGCCAAGGAAATCACATACTAGGAAATTAGAAATAAAATGTAACAAGCAAGAAAGTTTCGTCTTCAGGACTTTTTTTTCCTTTTTGTGGCAACTAAAATACATGCCTTTTGTGAATAATTAGACATTCCTAAAAGTGAATACTCATTTGTTGAATGGGTTTAAGGCTCCTAGAATTGTGTTGTAGTGGATATGTCTCCTTACAAATGCTATAAATAGGAGAGGAAGCTAAACATTCATTATACAACATTAATGAGTAGTGCTACTCTAACCCAAAAGTTAGACCCACCTTTCAAATCCAATCTAGTAATGTGACAGTCTATTAGAATATCTAAGAGAACTTTCTCTCCCATGTGTTCTCTAATCATCAGCCAATCTATCTCTTCTACACATCACGTAGTCTAGAACGTGGGCTTATATATCATTTTGCTTTGTTGATTGGCTAAGGGCCTCAATAGTTTCCCAGAAGAATTCAATGAAAAACTTACAAAATTGCTATATAGAGGTTTTCAACATATACCCTTTGTATATCCAGGAAGTGATTTCCCTAGAACCTGTTAGTAATCTCTATACAAAAAGATGTGTTATTCGACGACACGTCTCAAAGCCACAAGTTCATTGTTCTAAAATTTCTTGGTCAAAATTAATTTTTATATAGTTCATTGATTTATACTTCCTTCAACTTGAACTCCAATTGCCACAAGAAAAGCAAGATACATCAACCAACAAACCAATCAAAAAAATCAATAAACCCAAACCCCCAAACAAATCAAAAGTTGAAAACAGAGTAGGAAACATATGAGAGTGAGGAGTATATACACATAAATTATAAAAAAACACAAACATGTAGAGAAAGAAAGAAGGAAATTGGGGGGAGGACCTGAAGCAGAGGTTATGGAGGAATGGAGGAGAGAAACGCAAGTGTTGACGAAGAGTGGATCACGAGAGACCCAATTGCGGATGACCCAGTTGGCAGACTGGAAGAAGCAAAACCCAGCAAGTATGGGGACGAGCTCGGTGCGCTTGTTGAACATTATTTCGAAGAACACAGACACACCCCACATCACCAGAGTCGCCATGAAGAATGCCCCTGCCTTGTTCTCATCATCTTGTCCTCTCCTCGCCATTCCCACTCTCTATTTCTCTCTTTCTAAAACCTTTTTTTTTTCTCTCTCTCTCTCTATATATATATAAAGTTCAGTGATAAAAGTATATCTGTATGGTAGCTTTGATTTGGTTCCACCTCCAGAAAAGCAGAGAGAGAGAGAGAGACAGAGAGAGAGAGAACAGAGAGAGAAGTATCTACGGTAGGTATTGGGGGAGCGTGACGCAGCTCATTTTAGAGCCTCATCTCATTTTAATTGAGAGGGGAGTCGGCTTATGCGCTGTAACGTATTCATGGACTTTGCTTCAACCGCCGGCAAAGTAATTAATTTGGGGACTCGGGCCACGTGTCTTAATAATGTTATATATTAATTAGAATATTAATAAATAATGTAGTATAATTTTAAATATAGTATAATTTTAAAAAATTTAAATATTTATAATTTATATAATAGATAAAATTAATAATAATAATATAATATTAATTGATATATTAATATATAGATTAATTAGTGTATATAATACCACTATTTCTAAAGTGATAAATGCAACAAGACTTTTATGTATTTTTAATTTATTATCATTTTAAAAGTTCAATTTTTCTTGTTGTATCTTAAAAATATTCTCTAAAATTTATTAGTAATTTATATTTATCGAAAAACTAAACACTTTTTGGAATTTAAGCACTTTCAAATATTAAACACATTAAAAAAATATAATATAATTATTTTTTAAATAATTGTAAAATTGTTTGGGTGTAGTTTTTAGAAAACAGTTTTTAGAATTATTTTTTTATTTTTCATATTTTAATATTTTTAATGATTTTTTTAATATTTTAAGCAATTTTTTAAAATTTTTAAACACGCGCAATTTTTTTTTAAAAAAAAAAATTTGACACATTTAATATAAATACACTTAAAAAAGTATAATATTTGTGAAAAAAATAATCTTTAAAAAATTCACTAAACATGAAAAAAAAAAACGAAAATTAGTACATTTTTCATATTTTTGTGTATTTATTAGTTTTTTAAAATATTTTTTTACAAATATTTTACTATTTAAATATATCTAAGTAAGGTGCACCTAAAAAAATTAAAAAAATTACTTAAAATTTAAAAAATATTCACTAAAAACAAAAAAACTCAGTTTTTAGAAAATTGAATTCAGAAAACCGAAACCAAACACACTAATTACTTTTCTATTTTTTTTCTATTCCGAAAATATCCTCTTTATGATTAGATGTGAATAAAATGGCAACTATAAAACCTTAAAACATTATAATATAATTATTTTTTTAAAAATAAATCTATTACTTTTCTTCTATTTCAAAAATACTGTCTTTATAATTAAATTTGAATGAATCAGCAAGCATGAAATATTGTTACATTTGTATAAAAAGACATACAAATCATTTTTTCCATCTATCTACTATTATAATAAGATAGTGACTTATTTGCAGTTTATCAAAAAATTGGTATGTCCAGTCTTATAAATGAGATAATGCTATTTCATCATTTTGTCTATTAAACGGTTCAAATTGTATTGAAGAAAAAAGACAATGATTTTGTATCTCGTAAACATCATGTTCAGTGACGTCCCTCTCGTCATTGTCCTTTCTTCCCTCACCCATTGCCAGCGCAGCATCGTTGCTTACCATACACCCATTCTTCACCCATTTTACCATATAAAAAAAAAAACACTTTTGTTGAATATGAAGAGAGAAAATAATTGAAAGTATGAATGATTGTGCTAGAGCATGGATTGCAAATTAATTAGTGAGGGTTTGGTTAATACTTGATAAGATTAGTTACAATATGGCGGTCATGACTGTAATACCCATAGTGGTGTGTGTGTAAATTAAATGTATAAATTAAATAAACAGTACAATAAAATAATTCAAAAAATAATTATATAAATTATTTTTTGAATTAAACGCTTATAGAAATTAATGTCGAGACTTGTGTTGGACACAATTTCCTTAAAGTAGATTTCACCATCACTCTGGTGCTTCGAGTTTTACCGGTGTCTACTTTCCAGGATGCAACGACTAACACTTAAATTTGCAGCACTACAAATTCAACTCTGGCGAACAAAAACTCTGATGTAACTCTCTCTTTTTCTTCCTAAAAATTAAATGCAGAATAGATGCAGAAACACAAAAAAGACCAGAGAAAGAAGGACGAAATTATGATGGAAAAATCTGATCAAATGAACTGCTAGAAGGAGGCTTTATATAGGAGAAAAAGTGCCTTTTCGGAATAGGTACCTAACAGGAAAAACCTGTTCAGAACAGGAACAGATTTGTTCAAAATAGAAATAGATTTGTTTGGGTGAAAATTGTACCTGTTCGGGTGGACCTTTTGAATTTGTTCAGGTAAGGGCCTTATGAACCTGTTAGGGATCTGTTTGGGTGAAAGAAAAATTATGGACCAATTTATTTTGAATTTTGAAAACAAAATAAATAAATAAATAAATTACATATGTTTTTGGTCCAAAAATATAAGTATTGGGTCAGACAAGCCCAACCTAACCTCACACCACGCATCCGCGCCAGCGTCTAAGCCCAGCCTAGCCCGCCTGCCCGACCGACCGGCAGCGGCGGTGATGTGCGCGTGTGGTTTTTGTTTTGGGTAAAAATATTCTCTAAAATTTATTAGTAATTTATATTTATCGAAAAACTAAACACTTTTTGGAATTTAAGCACTTTCAAATATTAAACACATTAAAAAAATATAATATAATTATTTTTTAAATAATTGTAAAATTGTTTGGGTGTAGTTTTTAGAAAACAGTTTTTAGAATTATTTTTTTATTTTTCATATTTTAATATTTTTAATGATTTTTTTAATATTTTAAGCAATTTTTTAAAATTTTTAAACACGCCTAAAATACACTTAAAAAGTATAATATTTGTGAAAAAATCTTTAAAAAATATACTAAATACCAAAAAATACAAAAAAAAAATAAAAATTCAGTACATTTATTATATTTTTGTGTATTTATTAGTTTTTTAAAATATTTTTTTACAAATATTTTACTATTTAAATATATCTAAGTAAGGTGCACCTAAAAAAATTAAAAAAATTACTTAAAATTTAAAAAATATTCACTAAAAACAAAAAAACTCAGTTTTTAGAAAATTGAATTCAGAAAACCGAAACCAAACACACTAATTACTTTTCTATTTTTTTTCTATTCCGAAAATATCCTCTTTATGATTAGATGTGAATAAAATGGCAACTATAAAACCTTAAAACATTATAATATAATTATTTTTTTAAAAATAAATCTATTACTTTTCTTCTATTTCAAAAATACTGTCTTTATAATTAAATTTGAATGAATCAGCAAGCATGAAATATTGTTACATTTGTATAAAAAGACATACAAATCATTTTTTCCATCTATCTACTATTATAATAAGATAGTGACTTATTTGCAGTTTATCAAAAAATTGGTATGTCCAGTCTTATAAATGAGATAATGCTATTTCATCATTTTGTCTATTAAACGGTTCAAATTGTATTGAAGAAAAAAGACAATGATTTTGTATCTCGTAAACATCATGTTCAGTGACGTCCCTCTCGTCATTGTCCTTTCTTCCCTCACCCATTGCCAGCGCAGCATCGTTGCTTACCATACACCCATTCTTCACCCATTTTACCATATAAAAAAAAAAAAACACTTTTGTTGAATATGAAGAGAGAAAATAATTGAAAGTATGAATGATTGTGCTAGAGCATAGATTGCAAATTAATTGGTGAGGGTTTGGTTAATACTTGATAAGATTAGTTACAATATGGTGGTCATGACTGTAATACCCATAGTGGTGTGTGTGTAAATTAAATGTATAAATTAAATAAATAGTATAATAAAATAATTCAAAAAATAATTATATAAATTATTTTTTGAATTAAACGCTTATAGAAATTAATGTCGAGACTTGTGTTGGACACAATTTCCTTAAAGTAGATTTCGTCATCACTCTGGTGCTTCGAGTTTTACCGGTGTCTACTTCCCAGGATGCAACGACTAACACTTAAATTTGCAGCACTACAAATTCAACTCTGGCTAACAAAAACTCTGATGTAACTCTCTCTTTTTCTTCCTAAAAATTAAATGCAGAATAGATGCAGAAACACAAAAAAGACTAGAGAAAGAAGGACAAAATTATGATGGAAAAATCTGATCAAATGAACTGCTGGAAGCAGGCTTTATATAGGAGAAAAAGTGCCTTTCGGAATAGGTACCTAACAGGAAAAACCTGTTCAGAACAGGAACAGATCTGTTCAAAATAGAAATAGATTTGTTCGGGTGAAAATTGTACCTGTTCGGGTGGACCTTTTGAATTTGTTCAGGTAAGGGCCTCATGAACCTGTTAGGGATCTGTTTGGGTGAAAGAAAAATTATGGACCAATTTATTTTAAATTTTGAAAACAAAATAAATAAATAAATAAATAAATTACAAATGTTTTTGGTCCAAAAATATAAGTATTGGGTCAGACAAGCCCAACCTAACCTCACACCACGCACTCGCGCCAGCGTCTAAGCCCAGCCTAGCCCGCCTGCCCAACCGACCGGCAGCGGCGGTGATGCGCGCGTGTGGTTTTTGTTTTGGGTCCAATGGGTCTAGCCCACTTCACCCATAACCTCACCCTTCTACAAAATTGGTTATCCCTTAGGGCCCATCCCAAGTATCCCAAACTAAAGTATATAAACCCATTCAAACCTTTAAGCCTTTCCAATGTAGGACAAGCACATTTCACAAATGTATAGAAAACCCACTTAAATACATTTCCATGAACCAAAAAATGTGAGTTGAATTCTTATTCATCCGGAAATGGTTTATATCAACCAAATACATGGTTTTATTCACTACGCATCATTAAACATGAACCCAATAAAAAAGGTTAAAAATAACGCTTGGGTCCTACCTTAATTAATGCTCAAAGTTAGCAAAAAATAAGGATTTTCAAAGCTATTTTCCAACAATCCCCCACATGAATGAAATTCACGATAACGGACATGCAACAGGATGCAGACAAAGAAAGAGTACATTAAGAAAATACACCACATCGAGATAGGTAGCTTTTGGCTTTGAACCTCCTTTAGTAAAAGCCTATCGGACTTACTGGCTAACCAGTGGACGCGATGCCTTAAACTGTTCAGCTATTTGTGTAAGCCAAGACAATAGAC